AAGTTTTTCTTCCTATTAATGCAAACATGTTTAAAAATGGAGGAAAAAAATACAACATATACTTTTTGTTAGCGCCAGCAAGCCAGTCCACCCAGTGGCTGATAAGTAATCACTGCTGTAAATTCACCTTAATGTTAAAATGGTCCATAGCAAACTTATTTGGTTTGCATGGTTAGAATACATTTGAGTATTCTGATGGTAACACACATCTGTTACATGCTATTGTGTCACTTTCAGGTTAGTTGTTCTCTCCATGCTTATTCATTGGTCTTAGTGTATTAATGCCAACTAGGTTTTATGTATAGGTGATTGTTTTCAAAGTACTACTTCTTGCTTTTGACATACAATATAAATAAAAGATTGTTCCATGAAACACACACTAATTCAGCAACTTGAGGTAATGTAAAATACTGGGTTTGCACATCGCTTTTTCTACATCACTGAAAATGCAGTGTTTCAGTGTACTCTATTGTGAGTATATGACTTCTAGTCTTAGCATATGACTGGGGGCCAAGGATATCAGACTGGTCTGTTAATGTCGGCTCAGCCCAATGCTCTCTTATTTTGGCTGCCAAGGGATTCTTTGTAGCATTACTACTAATATGTGCCAACTGTAAATGTACCCTTCAAAACCAGGCTTGTAGGAAGATGCCTGGCAGCGTTAAATGGACGTGCATCATACAGGTTGGCAACACTTCATGCAAGCTGTTACTGGCCACGAAAGGAACATAACGAATGCTGAGAAGATGCAATATGACAGTCGCTCGGCTATGAGCATGCAGCCTGCAGCAGTCTGAACAAGATCCAAGCACTGAGGAAGCACTGTAGGCAGCTTTTTTAGGACTTATGGTGAACAAGTCCTGTACATGTGAGGATGAGTATTATTTGAAAGAAATTTGGGTATAGCCTTTACTTATTCCACTTCTAGGTTAAGTGTGTGTAAAGCACTTCTTGCCTCATGCTTCGTTCAAAGTCTTAGTTAATAGTGAATCCATAGAGTTTAACTGGATATCTCCATTGATTGTCTTCAGAAAGCAAGTCTACCTGTCTTGACACTCATACTACTTACTCTCCAAGCATTTAAATGTGAGAAATATAAAATATGCTATTTATAGGCAAGAGTTATAGATCAACACTGATCATTCTACCATGTGCTAGAAGGGGATTTACTTAGGAAAACTTGAGATTATTCATGGATGTTTTAGGAACTGGGATAGTTCTTCAGATTGCAACAAATGTGTAACTTTCAGCCTGGGTATTGACTTTATATAAATGCACACAATTATATTGACTTTTATAAACAATATATAAACTTTGCAGAAGCCATAACGTGCTTCGAGGAAGATGATTAATGATGTCTTGTTTTCAAAGATGTTGGTTTTGGAATAACCAGTCTCAAACATCTGTTCTGCATACAAGATCTGTTGATGCTTTGAACTCTGTTTACTATTTTATTTTATAAGATCCCTGGTATCTCAGATATGTAGCTTGCTGTTTGCAGCCAAATAATGTATGGACCAACTGCCCTGGCTATTTTAAAGTTTCTTCCTAAAAAACCTGACAGAATCCAGCTAAGGGGAGAATGTGTGGGAGTTTGTAACCCTTGTATTTGAAATATTAAAAAAAAAAAAAAATAGTGTCCATCTAGTCTAAACACAGAGTATCTCAATAACTTGACTGAAGGAGCTAGTAACAGGAAAAAGGATCAAAGATTTCTCACTTTTTATGGTATGTCTGTAAAAATAGATCCAGGAAATATGCCCTTTACTCATCTTATTTTCTCTTATGCAAATATTTCTACAGGCAAATACACTGCCAGAAAGTTTGCTGAAACAGTATAGTGGGTGACTTTATCTAGAGGTTTTTCCCACCCTTCCGGTAATTTATTTCTAATACTTTTACTCATTCAACCAAAAAAAAAGTCTCCAGTGAAAACAGCTGGTATTTTGATTGCTGTGTTTAACTCCACATAAACAAACTATACAGCATTTTTCTGTATAATTTTGATTTCAGAACTTTTATTTGTATGTGAAACCTTCTCAAGACACAGAAAGGAATTTCATTGCTCATAGATTATATTCTCCCACCTCTCGTTTTCAGCAGCATGTTCTCATATTCATAGAAAAATACCATGTTTTGCCCTATAGTGTATTTAAAAATAATAATAAAAAAAAAACTTCTGATCAGAAAACCCTTGACAACTCTTAACATTCAGCAGATTCAACAGGGTCACACATAAAAGTTGATAATATGGTAGTAGAACAAAAATTGGCATCTTATGAAAATCGGGGAAAAAATCTTGACCTAGTTATATATTGGTTTCTTTTGCTTTGTTCCAGCTACTTTCATTATATGCTATCTAGATACTCCCAAAGCAAATATTCTGGATTGTAGAAGGAAATCAGTGACTTTTTCATAAACAGTTTTTTTCATTGATGAGTATGAATGTTCTTACTGAACTTGTCTTAATTGAAGTCAGCACAGATGATGTATGCCTTAAAGTTCACTGTCAGAATTTCCTTGAAAAAGTTGAAGGAGAAAAGCACTAGAGTAAATTTGTTTGTAAGTGATATCACCTCAGTGCTTGGGCCCGACTTTTAAGTAAGGAAATATTTTAAAATATTTTAAATCCTTCTCTTTTTGTCTGAAAGCAGGACTATTTTGATTAAATTGCAAGCTCAGAAAACCTCTAGCATAGTTTCCCTTATTTAAAGATTTAAATGTGTTTCTTATCCATACAAATAGAAGAAATTATGTATAGAAAAGCCTGGCCTCAGAGGCACAAAAATTTTTTTTATTGAGGATTTGGTTGACACTGAAGCTTTTCTTTCTTCTAGGGATTTATCATTAAAATCCCACTAATTTCGATAATGAAGTAATGAAATTAATGGTGGCATGGAGATTCCCAAGGACTTAGGTAGTTCAGAGTATTATATGAGGCCTTCTGTACCAAAACAGCATCCCTTATTAATGTACAGCTTTGTTTTTATTTGGGTTTTTTTTCTCTCACCATCCTACTAACGTATAACTTCTAGGGAATTTGATTTGAAACTGTTCGGAGTATTTCCTAATATTAAAAAAACAGGTAAGTAGGAAGAGTATTAAAGATTCAAGTGAAACTTTATATTAGCACATAGCACAAGTAATACATTTATAAGAGAACTGTAGTAGAAATTAGTACTAATCTTCAGTGACGCACACTGTGCAGGCTGTAAGTATGAATTAGTACCATTACAGGAAAGGAGTGACCAATTGTGTATTTGTGATTCTGATGTGGGCAGTTGTCTGGAGAATATATATAGATATATATATGGTAAAATGAAAAACTGAATTTCTTTAATATTCAACAGAAAAGCAGCAAGGGGATCCCACTTGCCATACTATCTTCTAAATATGATGAACATCTTGGATGCCTTTCTGTAAGGCACCAGAAAAGCCTCATGGGTTTGGGAGGAGGAAGAGAAGGGCACAAATGAGGAGAGACAGGTTTTCTTTTGTATCCTTCTTGCCTTTTTTGTCTTAAAATTGAGTCAGTTAGAATTTCCCTTTTCATTTGACTCTCTTGAGAAAGAAAGCATAGAACATTTTTCAGAATGCCTCTTTGAGAAGAATATAATCAGCTAAACAGGGAACTGTTTTGCTTGTTGTTAAGGTTCAGATGCTAACTGAGGTAGCAGATGCTAACTTAAGTACAGCAATTAAACTTCCGGCACATCATTAATGAGATTGCATTCTGCATATTCTTATCTGCCTCAAATCACAGAAATGTCTTTATCCTATGGAAAAATGAGGAACTGGAAATGATTTCTCTACTGTATTATGTTTAATGCTACTCAGTGCAAATTCAATTCTAACTGCAAGCTGTCATGTTTTCTTTTTAATACAGTCTCAGGAACTGCAGGCTGAGACATGCATAGATAATAAATTAAAAGCTGGACTTCAGTCAGAAAGTGTTTAACTAGAATGTTTTTTTTCCTCCACTGTAAATAGGTGTGTCAAGAGAGTGAAATACAGAATGATATGATCTCATGGCTGTGTCCTAGAAAATAAACTGATAGCGAGTCCTTAAATAGCTATGATGTGTCAGCAGATTGGATTGAAGGATGTTGAGAGTGAGCCATCTAATGGCAATTCATGATTTTTTGTTGTTGTTGTTGATTTCCCACAAGACACTAAGTCTTATTGGCTTGCTTGCTTTTCTTATCTGTTGACTTGTTTGATGTTTGCCAGTGTCTGTGAGGCTATTTAAAAATTCACTCCTGTTCAGGGAGAAGCCTGCATGCTATACAGAGATGCTGATTTCATCTCTTCCAAACAAGAGTTATCATTTGCAATGCTGGAAGCTGTCTTTGAATTCCTGTCTGGAACGTTATCTCGGATCCCTCCTGCTAAACGGTGCATGTATGAGAGAGAAAGAAAGCTTCAGCCAGTAACTGCAATTAGCTTACAGAAACAATTACATTGTATCACAATTAATTGAAAACAGCCTGAAGATGCATGTCTGTCATTAAGGGATCCATTCCATTTCCTACTACATTTCAATGAGCGGACCTAAAAATTTACTTCTATCAAATAAAATAGCTACAGTGGCCAGCCTTAGAGTGTGGTAGAGGAGAGATGCAAAAGAGGTAATGGAAAATGTTACTTGCTGTAATGGATTATTCTCTTACATCTAGGGGGGGGAACGGGGGCGGGGAGAACTTCTTCCAAAGTATAAATCTCTACTGATTTAAAGCATACAGATTTTTCCCTGAGCTGGGCTGCTTTCCATGCAGTAGTTCTGGATTTTTATTGGATTTTATTAGTGACATATTTTAAAATAATAGTGCCATTTTGAGAGGAGGAGAGCAATACAACTCATCAATTAATCTCTGGACTGTAGAATCATAGTAGCAACAGTAGGGGAAACATCTTGATGTGTTTGAAGATTGCATGAAATTAGAGCGTAATCAAATATAGAAGCTGATGTTTTTCAAGGAGGTCTTATTTATATTTTTCAGTACCACCAAAGGAGATGTAATTTGCTACTATGGAAACAAAGGAGAACCAGAACCTGTTTTCCTAAATCCTGGTAGGATTTCTTCAGAAGAGTCTGAATATTGCTTTACAGTTTTGTTACTTTAAAGGAGTTGGAATGTAGCTCTATTTCTTTAGTAATTTAGCTGTTTAAACATGCATTGTCTTCATTAATTTTTTTCTATTGCATTCTTAAAATGTAAGTAAAATATCCTTAAATTTGTTTAAGTACTTACTGATTTTACTAAAGAATTACTAGTTCATAAAAAGTTTCTACGAACGAGCTCCATATTGGTGTACCCATGTTGCAATTAGTGGGGTGTTACCTAAGTAAATGTGACTGAAGGACAGAAGTCTGTCTTGAAGAATATTATTTTCAAAGGTTCATGGACCTGACCCTAACTCTCCTTTCCCTGCAATGTTAAAGGCATGATGAGACCATGCTTCCATAGAGACAGAGTTGGTTTTAAAAGGAGGAAAAAGCCCTGTTTCCTCTGTCTTATCAGGTGGATTGATTTAAAGTATTTAAAATCTACTTCTTTGCTAACCGACTACATAAAGCAGTACTCCAGAATTTGTCACTGAAAAGCCACTTTAAATGGACAACGATGAGCAAAACACTGCACTGTGTAGTTGCTTGACAACAGTTGCTACGAAGGATGTGTTGATGATGGCTTATTTTGCTTGCTTAGGTTAACTGTCAAAATGTTACTGCCAGTAGGCAAATAGTTATGGTAGCAATTATAGCATAAATCCTTGGAAACAGCTGTTAGATTTTGCACAGCAGCAAACACAACAGGTTTTGATCCAGACATTTAAAAAGAAGTTTGGCCACTTGTTTATTTTTTTCCTTTCGTGCTATATGGGATTGGACAGTGGTTCTGTAGTTCAGTTTGGCATCCTTTCCTTAAGGAGCAGAGATGTAGATTAACAGAGACATTAAGGATCAGGATTTGGAAAAAAAAAAATTGTACAATGCCTCCCTTCGTTGCTTCTGGCCAGAGCTATCAAGCTGCTGTCCAGAAGAGCACTACATTTTAAAAGCAATTTTTAAAACCCCATATAGAAGTGGTGTGGTAGTGTTTTGGGAAAAAACCTAAAACGTTCAACCTTGGAGCATGAAGTCCTCATGTGTTGTGCAGGCAGAAAAGCAGTACTACTTTAATGTGGTAATAAGAAACTGCATCACAAACATTAGATACCTGCGGACTCTAGCAAAAGGTATTTTTGATCTCTGTGCTTCAACAAAATTCCTTTTCTGTGTCTATGACTGCCTAAGGGAGAGCCAGGTTTTGGTAATCTTTGTGGTTATTCTCTTGCATTGTGGCCAGGATATGCAGGGCACTGCTGAAGAAAAAACTTGCTGTTGCTGTCGTTAAATGTTGCTTTGCAGTGTTTCTCAAGAATAATTTGAGACAAAAATTGTCATTAATATAAATAAATTGGAAAAGATTGGGCTGCAAAAACTTACATTCTGTATTTTTTCATAATGTACCAAAATGGAGGTTAAAAGTAATTGCTGCAAATATGGATTAGAATAAAACTGTAAAACTACTGAATATTAGCACAGAGGAATGTTTAAGCGAAGCATTAACGTGAGATGCAGGCATGCTCTGGTCTCTTGTCTACGAATGGGCCATGTGCTTTATAGCATACCTACCGATAAAAAGATTAGCTGGGGAATAATTTGGATTACATTAAAACTTGTGAAATCTGTACCTGAAAACTGTGAATCACCAGAGCATCCTTTCCAACTAAATTTTTTTTTTTCTCCTGAAAATTATTCAGGAGGCGTGCAGCTAGAAGTGGTCCATGGTGGGGGCCAGTCTGTAAACACTTCACTATTGCTTTTAAATCTAAAACTTGCCATATAATTGCCTTATTACAGACTGCTATTATTTTAGGACATAAAGAGCTTGAAGGATCAGAGTTACTTTACAGAAATAAAACCAATGTTATCATGATTATAAGAGTTATTTTCTGCTTAGGTTATGTAATGCCGTAATGTTTCTGTTAGTGATGTGTTCTGGAATAAAAAATGCCATCTTTACTTCACCGGATTGCACACCCTAGCGTATATTGTGTGAATACCAGTAGTGAAAAACTAAGATCCAGCTAATTTTATAACCTTAGAGCAGCAATGCCCCAAGGTGGGGGGTAGTTTTTGTTTTATTTTTCCCCTCATAAATCTGTTGGAAGTAATGGCCCAATACAGTTGAGAAATGGTAAGGTTATTTCATTAAGTTCTACTCCTGCATAGGAGGCTCTAATTAACTGAAGCAGGTGAGGCTTGTACTTATTTCATCACTTACTACTTTTTGATACATAGTTTAATAACCTCTTAAATTTGGAGCAAAATGAAGTTTGGCAATGGGATAGTAAGCAAATTATCTTAAGAGGTCTGTAATGAACTTGTAGATGGCATTTATTTTTTCCCCTCAAACTGTGTAGGGTGAATAATTGTGAAATTATTTAATTTTTTGCATAGCATGTATGTAAACTTTCTTTGCTCCAGAGAAATGCTTAATTAAGTAGTATGTTTGTCTTTTAACCTGCCCCAGAGATCAGCCTTTTTTTAAATGCATAGGAACGTATGGATTGAGTAATTCTTTGTTGGATACACCATGGAAGAAAGTTCAATATGGGAAGCAGCTTTTCACAGAAGTGATCAAGAGAAGTCAAGACCTTACCAAAGAAGACTTGGTGCAGGAGCTCCTTACAGTGATGAATAATCAAGAACCGTAAGAACATGATATGCAATGGGACCGATTCAAAATTTTTACTTAAACTATTTTTAATTATATTTAAAAAAAAAAAATTGTTTTGCCTTACACTAATCAACTAAGTCTGGGTAATGAAGGGCAAAGGTAGTACTTTATCTCCACAGAGACTGCATTTGAACAATGTTGATTTTTAAACAGCAGACAGAGTAAACACCACTGCAGACTAGGTACTCAAACTGTATACTGATTTCTGTGCCCTTTTTTCTTGAAGATTGCCCTTCTCATGGTAAGAGTAATGAGTGCAAGGCAAAGGATGGGCAACTTGCTTGCCACAAGGTTTGTGGAGCCTGACTGCAGGTAAAGGTTATTTGTTACTACACAGAGTAAATGCTTATTTACAGGAGCAGGTTTGTGTTAGTCGCTGCTAGCTATGCTGCTGTGCTGGGTAGACACTGAGAGTGAGGAAATAAACTATTTTCGAAGGAGAACCAGCTTCCTTTCTCAAAAGTGTAATTATTTTGGACTAAGTGGGGAAAGGAGATAACAGTGTGTTTGCAGTTTAACTTTAGGCCTCTGTGGTCAAGGAAGTTCCAAAAGGATCAGCTTGAGCATCCAAGTGAGGTTTCTGCACTCATTATTGGAAACCCAGTGAACCTAAGCGCATAAATTAGATGGTTAGAAGTAAAGGCAATTGATACCATATAAATGTCCAGGCATGGAGCTGGGTAAAGGAGGTGCTGCGTAAAGGAAGCAATGTGCTTTAAGTTCACTGCCTGCTAATTTTAATATTTAGCCTGATTTTGGCCTGTCAGACAGAAGAGTTGGGTAGATGTGATGCTGTGTGCAAGCAGTAGGACCTTCGTAATTGCACCTACCGTCAGAGGAGCAGCAAAGCTGTTTCTCGTACGTAGATTCTTTTTTTTTTAGTTGGTTTAATGCCGACACTCTTGTGTTTGAAGCTCTGACAAACGCCACGAAATAAATGTTTACATAGGAATTTAGAAAATCTGAGCATTGAGTAATAATTGACAAGTCTGTTAAGCCATTTTAATTGCTTTTTTGAAATAGTACCAGCTCAAAAGTACAAGTGCTTTTCAAAAAAATTGTTATGCTGTACCCTTTACTGTGGATGGATACAGTTGGATCTGTTCTAGGAGACAGGCACGGTCATGTCTTGGTCGTGGAAGAGGGTTAAAACGAAGGACAAGAACCTGCTGTAGTGCTAGTTAGCTAAATTGAACTGTAAGATTAGAATCTTTAAGTTTTGAAGTAGGAAGCTCTAGTTATGGCTAGCATTTGAGAACATCCTCTGGTGATCTGAATGGAAAGTCAGGGATGTAAGATTGCTACAGTAACCCCTGTGACCTTAGCACTTCTATGGGGCGCTGATACCTATGTAATTACTGCAAATGAAGCTTGATACACTTCAGTGTATGTTAGGTTGTGTTTCTAAATACCTTCCAAGCTTTGATAGGAATATCTGTCAAGAAGTGTTAAGGACTATCCTAAGTAATCCTAAGTATTTTCCAGGTATTCTAGATAAGCTAGCCAGGAGGAAGAGGTCTTTATTCAACACAAAAAAAGAAAAAACCCTGGAAAAATGCTTGCTTATATAATGTTCTTCAAATTACTTGATCATGAAATTTTTATTCAGGACTTCAGGGAAAAGTAGAATACAGAAAGGAAGAAATAACAATGAAGGTGAAAAACCTGCCAGAATATGAAAAATATTTCTTAAAGTGAGATGAAAGTTCAAGACCCTGAAAGATTTTTTTGTGGAAAAGAGCTGACAAGCTGTTTTATCTTTGGTCCTCTTTGTACTTGAGTCTCAAATAAAACTTACACTTTTCTGCTTTTTCTTCTTACCATTGTTACTTACCGTTCAGTCAACATACAGCTTAGTGCAAGAGGGGGAGAATGTGTTAATGTAAAAAATTATGTGTGTGTGTGTGTGTATATATATATTTTTTTTTCAGTCAATTGCCAGACCCTGCCATTGAAGACCAAGGGAGGGATTACATACGTCCTATATTAAACAAATATGCAGCTGTGTGTGTTCGATGCCCTGGTTATGGAACAAGGTAAAACTTCGTACTCATAAATGGATGTGTACTGGATCAAAGCATATCTCGCATCAAAATTATGGTGCCATAAATCTTAGCGCTCTAGTGACTGCTTTAAATTTATTCAGATATTAATGAAGCATAGTTTAGAAAAGTGTTCCCTTATATGATATTTGTGGTGTCTTAGATTGTGCTTAAAACACTGAGCGCTAATTTCATTGTGATTCATTTTGGGGGAGTATGGCATGGCAGCTCCAGTTTATTTGGGACAAGATAATACAATTCTAAAATACAGAGGATTTTTACTGTTCCATTTTTTCTAGCTAATCTTTTTGAAGTTAGTGTTCTTGTTTACTCATGTCCATTTCTGTGAAAGAAACCATCTCAGCTATGTTGTCCTCCCTTTCTTCTTATTTCTTTCACTTTTCTCCTATATCTTCTAAACACTGGGTTACTTTAAGCTGTGAGTGTTAGCATGCTGTATCCAAACTACAGGAGTGGTTAATATTTCCACAGGGAGCTTGTCAGCTGCTTTTGTCATCTGTGGATTGTCCTCTTTGAAGGAATGCCAGGGTCTTCCAACTATCACCTGCATATTATCAGACTGAGATTCTGATTCCCCAGTATAGGAGCAGATCTGACCACCTCTAACTTTGATCTCACCAAAACATGGACAGCATCAAAATTGTACTTTTAACCAAAAAAGCCAAAACAAAAACCAGATTGTCCTAGTTACCTTTTGTATCTGAGCAATTGTGGATCAGATTTCTTTTCTAAGAGACAAAATAGTGTCATCTGCATAGCTAGCTTCTTTAGGCACATCATTTTAATGTCTAGGATCTATTTTCATATATTAAAAGCCTATTACTCTTGTTCAAAAGAACATGTATTTCCATTTTTCCCCTAACTGGGGCTGCTGTTTTGAGATATTCTCACTTTCTGCCCAAACTGTCACAACTGTAAGAAGATTAGAATAATGCGATACATCTTGCACTTAATCCTTAGCAGGACAGAATTGCAGGTCAACCAATTGCTGCCGATAGGGAATTCATGCTTGAAAGGACTGCCGATGATTTTGTCAGACAGTGACTGTGCTAGTCAGCCATAGCATTCCCATTGTGTAGATGAAAGTTGATAAACAGCGCTCATTTCAGTAAGTATTTTTAAGTTGGCGTTCTGACGGAAATCACCACAAAAACTGAGCATCTTCATAAAATGTATGCAAAAAATATATTAATTTTGGTATACTGAGGCCTTAAAATGGTAAATAAACATTTCCCTCAGCTTGCTTCACAGGTTGCAGTCTACTTATCTCAAAGGAAATAGCATTATTCCTGGGAATAACTTAGAAATACTGATCTCTTACTGGTGCATTAACATTATATTTCAAATCTTTCCTGCTGTTATTATATGCTAACACTTCTAGGCTAACTTTGTTAGCTACATAGTTTAGTGAATAGAGGTTGTTAATTAGACCTCACAGTATTCTTAGAAAGTTGAGTCCTTTCTTATGTTTGAAGAACTGTGGAATGACTTGGAGGCCTCCAAGTCAGGATGGTAGAAAACTTGTACTTTCTGCTAGTCATCTGTTTCTGGCAGGATACTGAATTGTCCATAGAAAAATGTCAGCTTACATGTAGAAGAGCAGTTGGCAAAGTGGTATAGATGTATGAACAGGATCTGCTTTTCATTGAAGTAATTTCCTATTTAGAAATACATATTCCTAAAGAAAGACAAAAGTTTGTGTGACCTTCTTGGTGTTCTGTGATAGCAACTAATGATGTTTAAAATCTTAATGGACACTTGATCTGAAAGGAAAAATGAAGAGATTAATACTAACATAAATAACCATGAGCTTATGTGCATGCCATCAGGTAAAACTTATTTTTATACTACATCTGACTTGAAATGCATTTGGCACTAAAAAAAGAAATTAACTCTTTTATCATATTCTTTGTAAATGTGCAGCTTCATGTTTGGGTTTCTTGAAGTGCAGCAAGGAATCAGAGCAGCGGGGTGAGAGCAAGAGACTGAAAATACCCACTTGAACTTGCCTGGTGATTTCTGCTTAGTGCAGTGATGTGGTCAAGAGAAAAATGAATTAATGTCAGAGTGGTGTTGGACTCTGAATCTGCGTAACAGACACAAGGTTTAACCTTCTACCTTTGTATTGTTTCAGGACTAACACAGTCATTCTCATTGATTCAGAAGGAGAGGTTACTTTCACAGAGCGCAACATGATCAATGCAGATGTCAACCAGTGGAAAACAAGCACCTATGAATTCAAACTACAGATTTAACAACTTTCCATTTGAATGGGATGTAATAAAAGCAATGAGAGAACAAGCTATTATACTCCAGTCCATGTTTTGTGCCAGGCTCCAGAAGCAAGAAATAGCAAGGAAAGCAAAAGTTTATTTACACCAGTAGCATACCCTATCAGGTTCCCAAATACTTTGCATAAAACCAAGAAAGGAAACTATTTTTACACTACATAATGACTTACGTAAAAAATACTTCTGAATGTGTGACTTTTTGGTTTAGCTTCCTAGCTCGAACTTGTAAGTACCAATGAAATTAGCAGTATCAATACTTTTGGGTGTGATTCAGTGACATTCTTGCATACCATTAATTTCTTTTGACTTCAGCTGGAGCTGAAGATGTATGTAGCTTCTTGGAGAATCTGTGTTAAGCTGTGTTTCAGAATGTATTTCTATCTACAAATTACTGATTTTTCTTTTGCGTGTAGAGGATAAGGGAAATCAGCTCGACAGTTCTATATAGCCATTTCTAATTACTTTGTGTACTGAAACAACCATATAATATGATGACTTGAGCCAGTGTCTAGAAGTTGTGGAAAATAGGGTCAGAAAGGATCATGAAGCTGTCTATTCTATTGCTCTGCCTCCAAGGCAAGGCTGTTTTTCCTCAAGGCAGAAGTCATTGCTTCTTTCTTTAAAGTTGTTCTAAAGAGACTCTTAAACATGTCCCAGTGCAGAGAAGGGGAGATAGAACAATAAAAGCAGCAAATATATCTGAAGATTTTACAAAATTTTGTTTTCTCCAACATACAACTTTAGGATTGTGCGGTAAATGAATGTATGTTATCTTTGCAGCATTAAATGCTTTAGTAATGTTTAAACTTTTCAGCTATGTCACGGTGCGATGTTCTGCCTTGGGGGAGGGAAAGATTCTTTGTTTGTTTTACCTATAAATAGCACAGCAATATATCTTTTTTTCTAAAACTTGATTTGAGAGTAGATATGAAATTGAAGTTCAGTGTCTGTTCAGTTTTATTCAGTAGAAACTAAAAAATCATGGAAGTAGATGTGTTTATTTTTGAAGGGAATAGAATGGTCTGTATTGTGACATCTTGTTTTCTGGTAATCTAACTAGCAATATTAGTTTTCTTTTTTCTTCCCCAGCTGGCAGATAAGGACTAGATATCTATTTGCAAAGAGAAACTGAATATGAAGTTTACATATATCAGGCTTTTCCGTAAGTGTGCAACTTTGGCTTTACTTCTTTATTGGTATAATATGTCAAAAGCTGGAGTGACTGCTCATATTTTTTTTAGCAAAATAGGTCTGTTGTAAAGTGATGTTATTGCTGAAAAAGTTGGGTTTTAAGATGCACTTCCTATGTTCTAACAGTTGTGAAGTGTAAAGTTATTTAAATGCATACTTTTTCCAGTTATTTAGTGCCAGTGGTAGGTGATAGAAAGACTGTAGCTAATAGCAAGATATCTTAACCTAAGTTGTTTTGCTGCTATTGTTCTGTTTTGACTTATTTTGAATGCTAAATCTTAAATTGATAATGGATCATGGGTTTTTTTCCTCTCCTACTTGTTGAATGTATTTTTCTACAGTTCTCTGGTTATGAAGTAATGTTTGCAAAGTAGCAGCATTTCTGATACAATGCACTCTTTTCTATGTTCAAGCCTGAATATTCCAGCATTTTCACTCCTTTGTGTGTGTCTGTGTACTTGGAGGAGAGGTAAATTCCTTTGACTTCCCATTGAAGTAAGGAAGTACTGTAAAAGGCCATTTCCAGGCTTTTAATTGCCAGGAGATACCGAAGGACCATTCATCCTATGATTTCCTTTGCATATTGAAATAACTTCTAGATACCATGACTACTTTCATGTCTAGTCACAGGCACTTTGTGCTTTCTTGATTCAGGACTATATAAATGACTTCTTACCACTGATTCTGAGCCTGTTAATACAAACTTCATTACGTTTGTGTCTTGTTGGGGATGTGCTTGGTATAAAAGTAGGAGTCCCCTGGACACTTTCTGAGCTGTGGGAGATAGTCCTCCTTTTTTGACTGTTTACACCATATTTTTGTATGAATGAAAAAAAATACTATTTGAGTTGCAAAGAAATAACTCTTGCTGTCTTCAATTGGAATTTGACAAGTGCATATTTAAAAACAAAACAAAACTTTAATTTACTCAGTTTGCATATCAGCTTTTTTGTATCTTAATAAAAAAAATTGTCGGTGTGCATTTGAACAAAGCATACTCCTTAAGCATATTACCTAAACGACAAGTAAAATGTTTGTATGTTCTCTCACACTGAAACCTTAGCTTTTACAGTAGTCCTGTAATAATGAGTATTTATCTCTCATCTTTATATATAGGCAAAAGAGAAGCAAGTTAGAGCTTAGACGTGAAAACAACTGATTCTAATGTAATTTCTGGTGCTTAAAACAAAATTCTAAATCTGGGATTTGCTTTTTCCCCAACACAAACAAACAGGCCAACCCTACAGAACAAAAACCTCTAATGTTCTCTTATTATGTCACAGTCTAGCATCATAAGTATCACTTAAAAACGTGAACTTTAACTTCTTTTGAAGCTTATGGGAGTTTTGCTGTTGGCTTCAGTGGGAACAGAATGAGGGCTGCAGTGTAGATATCGGCAAGTTGTGCTTTCTCATAGAAATGATCAAGTATAAAAAAGTACATAAACTGATATTTGCTGTGGTAATTACAGTTGCAATGAATCCACTGGAAAGTTGTTTGTGGCTAACATTAGTAAGGAGAGTATTTTATTTTTATAAAGGTATTTTTAGAAATAGAAGGAAACTTTAAATACCAGCTTTAAAACTATAAAGGATGCTATTGTATAATATTTTAATAAATTTGCTTATATAGAACATGCTTTCAAAATTTTAAATTTGCGAGAGCTTTTCTCTTGTCTCATTTTTTTCTGCTAAAAGGGTAATGGAAGGAGTTCTGAAATATTTGCAACCACCCAATTCCATTTTTTGCTTAAATTATTTCATAATTGTTATTTACATGTGTGTTCAAAGCTAGAATCAGAATAAAGTCCTTCTAGTGACCAGTCTTTGTCACAGTAATAAACTGTGCATTTATGCACATGTGTACTTTAGTGTCTGTGTAATGATATGAGGAAAGTTCTTTCTGGTCATGAGGGACTAGAAATGAGAGAGGTTTGCAATGACTTCAGCTTTTGGTATTTATTTCCTTTTTTTTGAGTGCTGTATTTTTCTTTTGTGTGTGTGTATTTTCTTGTTATACTTATTCTCTCCAATGTGAATTATGGTAAGAAATGAGTAAAAAAAAACTTATTTTCAAGGCTGGTATCCAGGGTTTGGGTGTTTTGCTTTGTTTTTCAGGTTAGTAAACAATGTACTGACTGGAGCATTCCCAGACCAAGAGTCATAGTGATCAATCCTTTGAATTAGCCTTTGAATCCTACTTCTGATGATCAATAGGTGTCCCCTACCTCCCTGCCCACAGGCAAGTGTCCTCTTCTCACTGCCTCTGACTGGATCCATTCCAAGCAGAGCCAGACTAGGTAGAAAACAAGCTGTCAAGCATATAGTGTCTGAAACAGTGTCTCACGCATCCCTTTCCTGCCGTGACCTCAAGGTACTCAAGAATCTGCCTTCTCCCTTGCAGACAAGGGTGGATCCTTCAAAATTTAAAAGCTTGCTTGGCGCTCATTGAGGTATTAAAGGAAGAGAAGCTGGCATATTCTTGCCTGTAAAATGATGGAGCCGTTTTTTTAGCTTTACACAGCATCCTTCTCAAACTGACAGTTACTTAGAGAAGACCAGCCACTGGACTTGTCCTGGACTCATTGTTAAGTTGGCAACCCAACTAAAACCTGCAGGAACTCCCAAAACGCAATAAGAGAAGATTATTAATGAATAGACCTCTAAAGTTGTCACTGCCGGTTCTTCCCTATGCAGCGAGAAATGTTTGATCTGGATCACTGGTCTTGAAACCAGGGGTACGCATCAAGAAATGCTGGTGGCAAGCAAAGATGATAACTGGGGACCTTTAAAAATGAGTTTAATGATAAATATATGTCAAAAGTACTTGGCGGTGTTCAGGTTCAAAGGAAAGCAGAAATAATCACAGCAGCGATGCAACAAATAATGTGAAGAGCAAAAGCAGTGCTTCCTTAGTGAAAAGCAGACAAAATGCTATACGAGAATTCTTTCCCTTCAATAGCATTAAGTTCATCAAATTTGGGATCTTAGGCAGACCTGAGACTTTTTTATTACGCTAAGCTGAGACTACCTTATTGTTCTGCATACCTGGAAATTTGTGGAGATGTAGTTGTCTTGTCTCACTGACTGTTTTCAGTAGTTTTACTTAAAGAAAAACTTAGTGCAGAGAAGGAAGTAGTCCTTTAGGTTTCCTAGTATGATCAGGATTTAACTGACATTTATTATTAAAAATTGCATATACCAAACTGAATATTGACACAAAATGCTAGAACAACTTTGAATATTATTTTCAAGTTATAAGGAAATAAGTCATTTCAAAATCCTTGAAATACAAAGCAATAGTAAGACAATAATGAAGCATCTTACACTTCACATTTAGCCTAAAGAAGTTGAATAACGTGCATTTATGGCTTAACATCCTTATTTATATGGAATGCTAACTAATAGGAATTAGTTCCATATCATCCAGATTCGTGTAACAGAACATTACTTGTGTTCTGATTCATTTTCCACAGAGAAGTCTTCAGCTTTAGGAATTGCTCTTAACTTGGTGAGAATAGAATAGGTATAGTACTCAACTGTAAAAGCAATAACTGAGTTGCACAACCCATCAGTGTGACTCATGCTGTGAAATTTAAGTTAAGATGAGCAGAGTGAAGAAAATGTTGAATATAGCTCACTTTAATATGAATATATTAAGTTACTATCTCTGGAACATTCTGCATCAAGAACTAAAACTGAAAAAGCAGTATCACATTAAAGTACTCAAATCTACTGTCTTTTAAAGTACGAGATAAGGACTGAACGTAGCACTAAAGATTATGCATGAGAGAGAAAAACGTTTAATGCAGACTTTGATATTAAGTAGGCTAGGCAAGAATTGGAACCTATTTAAGGCGGTCATAGGCAATATGAAGGAGAGTAAAAAAGCAAGCTATCTACTGATTCGCATACAATTTTGGTGTCTCTGCACTAGAAAGATAAATAGAGTAAAACAAATACAAACTAAAAACAGATCAGTAGTTGGAGAAATAAAGTATGGGAGAAGGCTGTACTTAATTTAGCAGAGAACAAATATAATGAAGAAAATCTGTTACATTGAAAGACGTTCTGAAGATGATCTGTTAGAGCTTGAGTGGAAATGGAGCGGCTATTCTACCAGTAGACGAAGATGGATAGCATAGCTCTAGGATGTCTGGACAACATTAGGAATATTGATACTTTACTGAGATCTTTAAACAGGAAGTGTTGTGTGGCTTGTCGCAACTACTATTATACTTTTTATATCTAAGAAAACTGGCAAAGAATTCAGATTAATCTTTAAAATGGGATATCTGCTTTAATGTACTTTGCATTCAGCTGTGCCGAAGGGTCACTTTAGATAACAATTCTGTAATGTATAGCTAGAGTGTGTGTGTTTTAAGTGGTTGTAAGTAGGACTGCAAAGCTGAAGAAACTTTTATACTGACTTCAGTTTCGGGCGTTAGGTTTAAAAGGTGAGTAAAAAAAGAATCGTAATAATCTGTATATCTTTGATAAAATGACACTGTTTATTCAGTATGTATTTCATTTTCAGATAACTGTTTTATCTTTTCTTTGCATATTTACTAAATATCAACCTGAACTATCACAATATTTCTTAATGTTAAAGTTTCAACAGCAAAACCTTGATTTTTGTGAAAACATAATAAAAATGCAAGTGAAGCCCTGATTTTTCTCCTAAAGACTTTGATCTGGCATTCATTGAGGTATTCTTTCAATAAACCTCCCCCCAAAGCCTCCACACAGATAACTTCCACTGAAGTTAAAATAATTAGATGGGCATGGGATCTGAAGTTCATTAAATTATTTTGAATAGCATAGAAATAGCTATTCTGGAAGTAATTTATGTAGGATACATCTTATCTACTAAAATATGAAATGTAATGTGTTTTAGGGGTCTAATGATAATACTGTGTACTTGGTCTATGCAGTTGCAATTATGTAGTAGTGACTTGGGAAAGAATTCAAACATATGTATAAGCTAGCTTTTAAGTGAGCACTTGGAAGCGTTCTTTGTCCTCATTCAGCTTACTATTAATTAATGAGACTTTGGCTTATTCTTGATAGTCGGTATGTGCTTAAATATTCTCAGTAAAATGTTCTGAATCTGAGCTAAGTTTATGAAACTTTATTTTGTACGCTTGTTATTCTAGTGGCCTCTGAAAAAGGATGATGCCTACTAACCACCTCTGTCACTTGTAAAACACCCTATATTTTCCACTGATCTCATCTGATATGCCTAGCCATTATAGGCAGAGCACTAACCTCGGCCAGTAACTTATCAGGTTGTGTAAACACATTGATTGCTTCTGTTTGGAGGAAACCACATCACTTTTCATATGTTAATTAACATAAATTAAGTCATAAACTGGAGAATGTGGAGCCAATAGTGACACTTCTTTTGGAACAGTGTTATAAATAGTTTTCAATAACCTGAGGTTTTTGCCTCAAGTATGTGCTCTAGCAAGAAAAAAGTGAATGAGAAAGCTAGCTTTTTTCTCTGCACTAGCTCTTATTGTAAGTGAGTATTAGAAATAACTATAGAGCCAAGGTGTTAGCCAAATGTGTTTATCCGTCTGATGTTTGTTATATCTCATTTGAATAGCTGGCATTTAGAGAGTCATTAACTGTTCTCAATGATTATAGGATTTCTTTTGGTACCCTAACATTTGACTTCTGTCCCTTAGATGGCTTGTGCATGCTTTTTAGAGCAGACCTGCTTCTAGAATCCTAAGCAAAATTTTCAGAAAGCTTAAGAGGCTTTTTTCTAGCATCAACAAATACTTAAGGGAGGTAGGCATACTTAGGGCACAGTTCTCCCTCACGCCACCCAAAGACACTGAATGCTTAGGTCCCCTAAAAGGAATTCTTCAGCATGTCTATTACATTAGTGTTTTAGTTTGGATTAATAGTGCACTTGAGTGATTTTTCTGATAGTCCCTGTTTACTGTGCTTTGGCTCACATTGCAGAGTGATCTCAGAACACAGGAAATAGCTTGTATGTGGATGAAACCACACTGAAAGAGGTGCTTCAGGAGTGTGCTCCAGCTGGTAACATACATTCAGGCTGTGGGACCAGGCCAGGTTTTGTCTGAAGCAAAATTGCCTGAAATGCATATAGCGTGGGCATGAGGTACTCAGCCCCAACTGTTCTGCTCTACAAATACGCTCATGTTGGCTACCTGTACGTGTAGCATTTATGACAGATGTGTTGTGCAGATATCCTTGCACTATGGCAGTTGCAAACTTTCTTCAGTAATATATTGTTCCAGCCTAGCCCAAGTACTTTCTTGGTATACTATACATGTGTGTTAGACTGGCAAAGCAATCTTAGAATGGCAGTTATATAGACACGGCTGTATCAGCACAGCTATGCTTGAAAGCAGTGTAACTTACTGTGGTTCTCTTAAGAAAACCGAAGGTACTGACATGTGCAGTTTTGCTTATGTAAGTGCAACTGCACATGGATTTTTTGCCAGCCCAAGATTGTGCTCCTGACTCACGTCTGAATGCCAGCACTGCTAGCCTAAGCTTAGACATTGGAACAGCAGGGTTTCTTAGTTGTAGTTCACAGCAATTCTGTGGCATAGCAATGCTCATTACCATGCAGGCTTGAATTTAAAATGTCATAGTGTGTAATGACTTGCAAGAAAAATTGAGAGTTGACAGAGGTCAGTGGCTGAGGAAGTTGGGGAGAAGCTGAAATACCTAAAAATTAAAGTAATTGTCAGTGGAGGACTGCTATAGCTCTTGAAAAGTAGTAGCTAGGTTTGACTTGCTGGGTTAGTTTAATAACTGAACAGTAGCATATCCTGGAGATGCATGAAGTGAAAGCAGGCTTGTGACTGGCTCAGAGGGTTTTGTTTTTCTTTATGCTTAAGTTTATCTGCACACATGGCAGATAAATACTATCTGTTCCAGGAAAATGCTTTGATCTATTTGGATGAAAGAGCATAGAGAAAGCAAAGTATTAAGAGTTGTATTCTAACCCACATGGTTGTCATTTAAATTCTTCTTTCTTATTCCCATACATAAATTTAGTGTATTTAAATACAGAATTTTCAGCCCTAGTAATAAGTTCTATAAATCAAGAACGAGCAAGGGCAGCTTCAGTCTCTGTACAGCAGCCCCAACTCAGGTCCAATTTTAGAGAATGCTACTTAGGAGTGACTTGTGCAATCCAGTTTCAGTGTGAAGGTCATCACGTTTCCAAGACTGAGGAAGCTTTTGACATCTGGGTATTGCCCAAGAACTAAATCAAGATCAACTCCATTGTACAGGCACCAATGTAATTTAGAGTTTTTACGAGAAGAAATAAGTCCTCACTTGAGTTTCACCTTCTATGATTTTTTTCTTGCCATTGCACAAGCCCCATGTTCACTCTGCCACTGCATCCACCTTGTACACTTTCTACTAAAGTGGTAGCTGAGTTGATAATTATAGTGACTTGCCCAAGGTCACTCAAAGTATATAGCAGGCAGGAATTCAGATCTCGTGTGTTGCACCCAGTTGCATTTACCACAAGAACATACGACATGCAAATAGCTTTGAATGTAATCATAGAGTAATTTATGTGGGAAGAAACCCTAGAGGTCATTAATATTCATTTGAATTAGTATACAACTTGTGAGCTGTAAGAGGCAGGAAGTGCTTTCTATTTGACCTCTTAGTCGTCATGTCTCACTTTAGTAATGTTTTATAAAAATAATTAAAAAACAAAAAACACTTGCATAGCAATCTGAAATGTTAAGAGCAACCAATCAGCTAAATTTTGTACAATGGAAAGATTAGATGTTAAATGTGCTTCTATAGACAACATAGGTTCATAGCAATACAATTTAGTTTGCCTTAAATCCACATGGATGCCAAATGCAAGACTAGGAATTCCCAGTAGCACAGAGCCAAAGGAGGTGTCTACTTTGATTATCTTCTGTAGCAATCAACCACCCCGTTGATGTTAGAAAACTGATCTGAGCTTGCTCATGGGGTCCCCTTGACATCTTTGGTTGTCACACGATGACTGACAGAGGTTAGATGAGAGCAGACTTTGATTTAAAAAAAAAAAAAAAAAAAAGTCAGTATTTTGGAGAAGACCTAATTTAATGTGAGCAGATCTAAGCTTCCTTTCTTCCCCCTCAAATTGTCTTCTAGCTTAGTCAATGTGTAATGGCAGTGCCCAGTTTTCTGTCTAACACCTGCTGTCTCCATTTAAAAAATTGATTTATCATTCTCTGGTGAATGAGACGTACTACATCTCAAAATTTGGAGAAAATCCCAGCCTTACTGATGCCACATGCCTTAATTATAAGCATCTAACTTCACTGTCTACATGGGAAATCTAAGCTTTTTTTAATATAATCAATGGGAAGGCTTATCTACCTCTCTGAACACTTAAGAACCTGCTTCTCTCCTTTATGAGCAAACTAAATTAGATGCCTGAAGTAGGATGTCATGAACCTTCTGAGGATTTGTGAATAAAGTCTGTATAATAATGTTTCCTTAGGGAGCTGGACGTTTAGTTTGATATGCACAAAATTCAGACCAGATCCAAATTAGATAGTCATCTGTGTTATTTCAGATGCCTCTGTGGCACATAAATTATTCCTTCCACTCATACTTGAAGCCTGAGAAAAATCTCACCGAATTCAGTAGAAAGAATCTTGCTGGATGCTGATGTAGTTTGAATTGTGCCCTTAATACAGTTAAACATAGTACAACTTAAAGAATTTGCAGCACTTCCTTATACTACTACATAAGTAATTTTCCCATTAATTATTTTGGTTTGTGGATTATATTTTAAATTGTATTTTAGTTAATTTTCTGCGCTTGAGAGGTGTCTCAAAGAGTTCCAATTTATGTAGCTTTATCTGGAGTGCCCCTTGGAAGTACAGAAATCTCAGTCATGTCCGCTCTGGGCCTTGATGTGCCTCTCCAGTATGCCCAGGTGCCAGGGAAACAGTTTATGCAGAATGATTTCTCTGCTGAAGTTCGAAGGGTAGTTCTTGTGGAGATGGAAAAGTCTGTATAGCAATTAGTCTGGAATCACCTTCTCTCCCTCACTGTCCGTGGTGACTGAAATGTGAGTACTGTATATGACAAACCACTGAAATAGCACTTGGTTTGAAAATTTGTCTGCCCCAGTAACTCCTTATTAGGGAGATTTTTTGGGTTTTTTATGCATATCCAGATCTTTGCAGTGTGACAATTTGCACTCAGAGTGACTCAGCTCTGTTAATCTGGTCATTATAGCTTCCATGAGGTTGAAAATACATATTGTTAAATACATGCACATCTGTTTCATACCTCAAATATATTATGCCTTGATCAGTAAAGTGTCTGGAAGGATAGGTCATTAATTTGTGTGTGTTTCACAACTTCATGAAGTGGAATATATTGTGGTAAAATACCAATTGTTTTGCCAAAAAAGGTAAGTATTGCAGGATGAGCAAAATTTCTCTTCCAGTATATTTTCCTTTTGGAAGGACACAGTATGAACTGCATTTGCTGACACTGTTACTAGTAATATGAAAAAGACACTGGCTCCACCTAATCTTCATTCTGATGAATGCAGTCTGCTAACTTTATTAGGAAATCTATAATTAGTTTTTCTTGTGGGCTTAGTTTCTGTAGAGTGTGTGTGTGTAAGACAGCAATTGTTTCTGTCCAACCTTCCTATATCTTGGATATGGAAACTTCCTTATTCTTAGGAACTGATCTTTGTTAATGCTAATGATAGTTCCCGATACTGCTGTAGATTCTAATTGCACAAGCTCCTCCGTACAGCTGGACCGCCCACTTTAAAAGTCTAGATGGAAGATAGTGTTTTTGTGCACGTGTCTGAGAAGTTTTATTTAGAAGTCCAGAGAATAAAAACTTTCAGGTGAATTTATTACTTGTTAGATGTGGCAGATTGGACTTAATTCTTCAGGATTCTTTCTCTTGTTGAACAGATAGAGCAGGGCAAGGTTTGCGATACTCCAGTCCACTTTTAACATTTCATGCTAAAAGCTGCCAATGCATGACAAGCTTAGTCTCTGAGTTAGGGTTGGGAGTGTGCTCCACATCAGTTGGTCTGACCTATGGGGGAGGGGGACAAGGGGGCTTTAAAAGT